AAACTATTAAAAAGTAGACTGATAAACAAATTTCTGTAGATAAAATAATTTTCTAGAAATTTGATCGACAGTTTTCTATTAATATAAATGAATTGATCGACAATTCTCTATTTATATAGTTTTCATATGGCACATTTATTTAAAAGAAAATCAAATTCTAAAAAATTTTATACATTTTTTGTCCATCTTGTTTTAATGCCTCTCAATGTCATTATAAGAGTATTATTGTTCTTGTATGGCTGCTGGTTTATATTCTGATAACGTAAAGTAGATATGTATATGTCCAAGACAAGGTATACATTTCTCTACCTCTATGTATTTGATAATATCCTTTCTTAAATTTTTATACTTTTTATACCCTACACCACTATAGTGGGGAGGGTATTATGCGTTTGTGCTGATGTTTGTAACACCCAAAAATATTGGTCATACACATACGTTAAAGTATACCAATCGGCTCAGAATCACTTTCTGAGTCAGTCTGTCCGTCCTTCCGTCTGTGTGTCCATGTAAAACTTGACGGACTGTACAGGTCGCAATTTTCAAGATAATTTGATGAAAATTGGCACATACTCTTCTTTTGACCTAAGGACGAAGCCTATTAGTAATAGTTAAAATCGGTCCATTTTTATACAACCGTACCCCCGAGTGGTAAATGTTAAATGTTCTTCTATCACTTCAAAAATCTGCAAAATTTAGTTTTATAAAATTTTAAAGGATACTGCTGATGTTGGTAATGATCAGGCCTTATTTAACCCTATCCCTCATACAAAGTCCCCTTCAGAAAATGACTTCATGGTCAAAATTCAATTATAAACACTAATATCACATTGATATTTTATTGTAAATAAAATAACCAAAATTTTGAACATAATCACTGATGTAGGGTATCATGTGGTCGGCCATGCCCGACTATAAATTCTTACTTGTTTAATAATTCTGCCTGCAACACCCATTTCATTACAAAGAATGAGTTGAAAAATCTCTTTCAAACTTCATGTATAATGGTAATAATACTTCGTTTTGTAGTTGCAACAACAATTGCACGTACTTACACTCAAATGCATTCATTCATTCAGAGTCTATTTAAAAACTTTCAATTGCATAGTCAGATGCTGTATCAGTATATGTCTAAGTTTGGTTGTATGAAAAGCTTTTTTTATTCATGTTTTTTTTGTCGAATGCAGCATGATGGTCTACAAGTTTTATGTCTCGGTTTTATAACCATTCATAGTTGGTTCTGCAACAATAATGTCAAATTGAAAGTGAAGTGTTAAGCAGGTAGTTAAAGGATTTTTTATTAGAAGTTTTAGCAAAATTTAAGGCATTTTTTGATGAGGGTACTGTAAATTTTTAATCGATATTTTGATTTTTTTTTAATAACGAAATGTATGGTTTTCGACACTTTAAAGAAGAATATACTGAATATATAACCGAATTTATACAAGTCAAAGGATTTTACCTGCATGGTATGATAATCTTGAAAGATTTGTGAATTTTTATATGAATTATATATGTATAAAGCGTTGTCAAAACAAAGACTGTGCTCATTTGCTGAATGTAGATAAAAAAAGATGGGGGGTATATTGATTTTGACATTCTGTTTGTAACACATCGAAATATTCGTCATAGACCCAAAAAAGTATATATATTCTGGGTCCTTATTAAATTCTAAGACGATCTAGCTATGTCCGTCCGTCTGTCTGTCTATTAAAAACACGATAGAGTCCGAACGGAACGAGCTAGAGGTTTTCCAGAAATATTCTTTATAGGTAAGGTTTATTTGGTATTGAAAATGGGTCATATCAGTCCCCGTTTTCGGATAGTGGACCCCCGAAAAACAGCCTTATAAGTCCCCTTTAGAAAATTACTTTAACGCCCATGACTTTAAAAATACGACTATAGCGATGAAATTTGACATAAGTCTTACTATCAAAAATCTCTCTACCATATTTTACAGTCAGAAAATGCCTGTAACGCTCATTAATGGATTCAAGATACATGTATACCGATGAAATTCGAGTGAAGTAAATTCATTGCGAGTCAAAATCTCTTCGCCAAATTTTATGTGGATCGGTCTATAATTTACCCTACCCCCTATAAGGTCCCTTTCAGAAAATTACTCTAATGCACATTACTGGCTTAAAAGAGAGCATTAAGATGAAATTCGACATAAGTAAGTTTCTTATGAGCCAAAACCTCTCTACTGACTTTTAAGGAAATAGGCATATGAATGATCCCCATATAAGCTCCCCTACAGAAAATGACATTAAAGTTCATTATTGGCCTAAAAATACGAGTAAAGCGATGAAATTCGATACTACCAAATTTAGTGCGGATCGGTCAATTGACCCAACCCCCCATATAAGGTCCCCTTCAGAAAATTACTTTAATGATCATTTCTGGCTTAAAAATACGTGTTTAATATACTCTAACCGCCCATATAAGCCTGCCTCCAGAAAATAACTTTTGCGCTAATTACTGACATAAAAATAGGAGTACAGCGATGCTATTCGATGTAAACATCCTTATATGAACCAAAATCGGTCTAAAAAATTTTATGAGAAACGGTCAGTTAATTTAATGAGTGATCATGATATTAGGGGAGCATTCCTTTTATGTCATATTATTTAGAAGAGGATATATTTAAAAACTTGTTATACCCATTGTTTTCACCCCAAATTTAAAAATTTTAGATCTTCTCCAGGAGTAGTAATATTGTAGATGTCAGCTCATTCATATAATAAAGGGTTTTTTGACGATTTTAAATAAAAACTTAATACCCAAGGTGATCAACTTTAAGGGGCTACCCACTGGCCCGCAGTCCGCCTACGATCACCTACAACTGTCAATCAATTCGACAATAGCTCAGCTCTAAACATGTGAAATTTTATTGCGTTATAACCAATAGTTCCAAAGATACCCAACTATTTAATAAAATAAAACTTTGTAAACCACTGTTACTATGTGGACATAGGTACGTATGATTAATATGTATAAACCACAACAAGTATACTCAAGCATCATGACAAAAAGGGAACATTTTGCGACTAACTTAGTTCATTGTACTTTAAAACATTTCTGATTGTACTTACTTTTAAGTAATTTATTGGTTTTATACTTGTTCAATAATATTAGACAGTTGAGTTTTTTTAACTAATTTTTATTTCAATTCAATTGTTTTTTTAATATGTTTTGTTTTGTCAATTTTTTTATTATTATTTAGATTCAATAATTGAATTCGTACTTTTTTTTGTTAAATTTTATTTATTTATTTTTTTTTTTATTTGATGTTTACAATATTAGCTTAAATAATTATTATGCCTAAATATATATAAATACAAATACATTTTCAATTGTAGTTGAGAAATATCATCATCGTCTTTGTTTTTTTTTTTTTTTTTTTTTCATTAATATTAAAACTATTTAATTAATTAAATTTAATTTTAATATTAAGTTTGGGGTTTTTCTTGTAAATACACTAAAATAAAACTAATTAAGGGCTAGACTATACAACTACCAAAAAAAGGATAAAAAAATATAAAAAAATTTAACAAGTATAAAAAAAATAATAAAGTAACCAGATTAGTTATAAAAAAATATTATGGCATTAGACAAATATTAGAACAAATAAAAATATTTATATTTGTATAAAGAAATGTTTAGTTAGAAAACTTGGTTTGGTGTTTCAAGAAAATATTTGTAAGATTGTTGTGGTTACATTTATTTGCTCAAATATTTGCCTAATGCTTGCCCAAGAGTTTAAATAGTAATAAAGTTTAGTTTTTATAAGTGTATAAGTGTTTTTATACCCTACACCACTTAAGTGGGAAGGGTATATTGGGTTTGTGCTGATGTTTGTAACGCACAATAATATTGGTTCTATACCCACCTTAAAGCATACCAATCAGCTTATAATCATTTTCTAAGTCGATTTAGCTATGCCCGTCCGTCTGTCCATGTAAATTTTGTAATCAAACAATTTTGAAGATAATTCAATGAAATTTGGTACATGATCTTCTATTGTCCCAGGGACGAAGCCTATTGAAAATGGTTAAGATCGGTTCATTATTTCACCTAGTCCCCATACAACTAAGCCCCTGGATAGGGCTTGTAAACCTTGTAATCAAACTACAGGTCACAATTTTGAAGACAATTCAATGAAATTTGGTACATAATCTTCTATTGTCCCAGGGACGAAGCCTATTGAAAATGGTTAACATCCATTATTTTACCTAGCGCCCATACAACTGAACCCGACGAAGAGGGATTTCAAGTTTATAATTATGTTTAATATAATCGTATCTCGACAAAAAGCTACAAAACCAAGTTCTATACTAGCCTTGATGACTCTCATGAATTTTATAATTATAGAGTCTCATTTGACCATAGCCCTTATACAAGCCCACTTCAAAATTTGACTTAAATATCCACAATTTTATTCAACAATAAATGGCTTAAGTATATCTGAGACAAGGTACAATTCAAAGTAAATACCTTATTATGAAAACTAAATCACATTTTATTTTTGTAACTGGTGTAGGGTATTATATGGTCGGCCTCGCCCGACTATAATTTCTTACTTGTTTCTGTGTATATTTTTGATTTATATGTATGTATAAGTATGTACTTCTTACAAAAAGAGTAGATATAGAGCTTGAGTATTAGAAAAACAAAACCAGGAAGTAAAAATCTTACATGTTTGTGTGAGTGTGTGTGAGTGTGTGTGTGTATGTGTTTTAAGTAAATACAAAATTTTAATATTATTATGAATTTACATAGAACAGTTTATTTTTTTTCTTTTTTGTTTATATTTCTATATATTTGTTCGTATGTATTAGTGTATTATTGTTATATGTTGAAGTATGTATATAAATAAATATAAATAAATAATAAACAATATAAATTTATACGACGATATGTTTAAACTACAAAAATACAATACGAAATATTTACTTTTTGTTTCATTTTTGTTTTTATTTGCTTGTTTTTATATTTGTATTCATTTTGCAAAAATAATAACAGAAAAAAAAACAATAAAACGGAAATCTATAATTTCTTGAATTGTTTGATTTTGTTCAATTTAAGTAAATATACATTTATATATTTCTATATATATAGACAATAGACCTGCTTAAAATTTAGCTTAAATATTTAATATATATTTTTTTGGTAATATTTTACTAAAAAGAGAGAAGAAAAATTTTTTTATATATTTTTTTGGTTGTATTCTATTGATATTTTTTTCTTTTGTTTATTTAAATGTTAAAGAGAAAATTTTTGGGGTTTTCATTTATTTTTGTAGCTATGTTACAGTTTGTTTAAGATTTATTTTCTTTACTTTTTTTGTTAATTTTTTTGGAATAAATGTATGATTATGTAGTTAGTTGTTGTCCTGTATAATTTTGTATGTTTATGTAAGTATTTGATATGTTGTTTGTTTATATGTATGTATTCGTTTGTATCTGTGTGTTATATGTTTTGAAGCTTAGCTGTATAAATGCGAGTTTTTTTTTCATATTGAATACAAAATATCTCTTCTTTTCTTTTGCTCAAACATAAGTTTTATGTCTTTACTAGTTGTTATTTTTTCGATTTTTCTTTAAATGTTATTTTTTATTTATATAATTTGTTTTAATTTCTTTGGATAAAGGAACTAAGATTTTATGAAAAAATATATTTATAATTTTTTTATTTATTATTCATTTTAATTTTAGAAGAAGGGGTTTTGTAAGAGAGCAGATGGTGGAAAAATTTTACTAAATAGCAGAGCTATTTAAAAATATCCATTGTAATTGGACCTTAAATAATTATGCAATTAAAATTCTAAATTTTTGTACAAGATCTTGTTAAGAATGTAACAAACTTTCTTGGACTTGTTTTGATCCAAACAAATTTTAATTGTAGAACTTTCAATCGGAACGAATTTTCATACAAAAACTTTTTTTAGCTTTTCCTAGAAAAACTTCTTTTGATCTACACAAACTTTTCATAGAATGACTGGTTTTGACCGAAACAAACTTACATTGATGAACTTTGAAACAAACATTTCGATCTTGTTTATATTGACACAAAAGATCTTGTTAAGATTGACACAAACTATTCGTGGAAGGACTTTTCATAGAAAAACTTTGAAACAAACATTTCGTAGAAGATCTTGTCTAGATTGACACAAACTAATCGTGGAAGGACTTTTCATAGAAGAGCTTTGAAACAAACATTCCATAGAAGGACTTGTTTTGACCGAAACAAACATACACTGAAGATCTTTGAGACAAACATTTCGATCTTGTTTAGATTGACACAATTGATCTTGTTTAGACTGACACAAACTATTCTTGGAAAGACTTTTCATAGAAGAACTTTGAAACAAAAATTTCGTAGATGATCTTGTTTAGATCGACACAAACTATTCGTGGAAGGACTTTTCATAGAAGAATTTTTAAGTAAACATTTCGTAGATAATCTTGTTTTGATCGAAACTAAAATTATATTAACAGAAGGATTTTATTCTATCGAAACAAACTTTTTGTAGGAACCTGTTTCGATGAAATAAACTTTTCATAAAAGAACTTTCCATATAAGTACTTGCTTTGATCGAAACATAAGAAAATTTATAATTCCTCCCTCTTCAATTATTACCCCTTCATTATTAAATACACTTAGCAAAAAGTTACCTAATTAAATAAATTTCCATTTTGTTTCTTTACATTACATTTTTTTCGCTTAACTTAAAACCAACAACTTTTTTGAGATCGTAAATTAAATTGACTTAATTGTATTTGCAACTGTACACAGGTTCATTAGCTTTTGAATATATCATTCTGGGGTTCATTTAAACGCTTTAGCATTGCATTGCGATGCAGCCAATATGGCGGAGGATCTGGTGGTTGTCCCGGTAGTGTAGTTTTCGATTTTAAAGTCATTTTTGGATTACTAGTAGGACTGCTGGCCGCAGCCAAAGCAGCATTATACATCACAGGATCAGCGGCATGGGCCGAATGACCCATACCCACTCTAAGGGGTACTTCTTTTTTGCGTATGGTCTCACAAGTCTCTTTCATTTTACACAATTGATCTTGTAGATTGCGATACTCTTCGAGAAAACGTTCTAGCTGGGCTGCATGATAGTCATAGGCCGTTACGGGTGTGGTGGTACTAGTGCTACTGCAATGCATTGAAGTACTTAAGCCACTGGGTGTAACGGCCGAGCCGGTAGTGGCCGTAGATCTATTGGTTAGAGAGCTAAAGTCCAGTAGAGGAGTAGCAGCCGAACTAAATGATCTTTGATGCTGCTGATACTCATGCACCGGTGAAGAGGGTAATGAGGGATTTCTGCGCGCAGCCGTGCTACTACTCGTTACTGTTGTTTTATTATTATTATTAGAAGAAGCTAAAGTATTTTTACTTGAACTATGCACCAGATTCAAAAAACTATTCGATCTTTGTCCCTTGGTATAAGTGACTGTACTGCCATAGGTGGAGTATGAAGATTCCGCCGAGAATCTTCTACCCAAAGCGATTTCATTAAGATAACTAGCATCTCCTAAAGTACTGCTGCCATACTTACTCGAATTATCCGCCAGCAAAGGTGATTGACTATCCGAGGAATTTTTAAAATATTTACCGGTATTCTTTAATTTTCTGGGCAGAGTACATAAAGCCCCATTAGTTTGATTTGTACTTGTAGCCTGAGCTACCGCATATTTAGCTATATCTAACAGATCCGGATAGTTGCTATCGAAGAGATCATTATCTGATGAGTCTTTGCCACTAAATATTGATGAATTGGCCTCTTCTTTGGGACTATAATAGTCCACTGTTGTATGATTGTTATTAAGATTACTGTGGGGTGATGTTATTTTCGTTGTTGCTATAGAGGTGGTTACCCAATTGGCAACATGATTGTAGGCCGAACTTTGCCTTGAAGCAGCATCAACTTTACTAGATATAGAGGCTGAGGCAGAATCGGGAGTAGACCTAAAATAGTAGTAGGAGAGAGAGATGAGAAAGTTTAGTGTTTTGCTGTTTAGTTTGAATTTTGCATGCAAACATTTAATAGCTAAATTTGATACTATAAAGTGCAGTGAAAAAAATCATGGTATTGCTTAAAAATTAGATTAAGAACAGAAGAGAAATTAAAAATTTAAGATAAAATGCCATGAATTTATGCATTAAGCTATGTGTCAGAAGTGTCTAAATAATTTTTTTTAGTTGCAAAAGTCTCAACGTGGATTAATGGTTTAAAGTATTTAGCTATTAACTTATTAATAATTCAGAATTAATTGTAGTATTTTGAATGAATGAAATATTTGTCACTATATAAGATTGAGCAAATGTCCCACAGGCACCATGGAACTTTATTTATAGATCTTTAAATAAAAATTATCTGCTTTAACTTAAAAATATTAAGTAAAATCTTTAAATTTAAACCTTAGAAAACTAAAAACAACTTAAATTTCCGCCATGGTAAAAAAGTCTTACTTCCCACCTCTTCCATTTATGACACTTTATTTCCCAGAAAACTTACTTAAAAACTCCTCTCACCTAAACGGAAATTATGCTAAATACAAAAACTAAAGAAACTCCTTATCTGCGAAAAATTTATAAAGCATGATAGTGTCAAATTATCAACTTGTATATAAAAGAGACTCATCTCTTCATTTCCAGCTAAAAAATCTTAAGAATAAGTATGAAAAATAAAATAAGCATTATCTGACAAAAACACACACACACGCACGTATAAAATAAAAACTAGAACACATAAATTAAATGGATTAAACAAATTAGCAAAGTTTCGTATTTTTACCACACTCCAGCCAGATACAATGGGACACATACATTCATCTACTTACGAGATGTTAATACAACACGCACAACAACAAAAACAAGAAAAGAAAACAAAAAACCAAAAAAAGTAGAAAACAACATTAAGAAAATCCTTTAAAATGAATTGTTTCGGCAAAGATTCTAAAAAAAAACTAAATACATAAAATGGAAATGAATGCTAGAAACTAAACTGAAGACGACACAGGACAAAACCAAAATAGTCAACTCGTACCAACAAGAAAAAAATTAAAACTAAAACTCAAGACTTATGATAGTTGAAAGAATGAAGGAAAAGGAAAAAATGACTTCAAACGATGGATGGCTGGATGAAATGCTTAGTAAGATGAATGTTATAAATATTTGTATGAATTAGTAAGCAAAAACTTATACGTTAAGTAGCTATGGCTAAATTCTTCAAAAACTCATGATGTCTATTTAAGAAAAGGCAAGAAAAAAATCATAATAAAAAGAGGGAAATAAATCTAAAATCCTTGAAACATGCCACTCTTATAAATATAGTTTTTATTAACAAAAACCCTTGAATTATGAAGAAGACGGACTAACAGAACTAGAGAAACTTATTCTAGTATTTTGCACATCATTAGCAGTGTGTTTTGCATTGGTATTCATAGTTTAAATTTAACCCCTTCTTACACTGGGGCCGTTTCGTGATTATTTGTTTTTACTGGTGCCACTACAAAACTATAGAATATACACTTGAAATATGTATGTGTAGTTGTGTCTTAAAACAACAAGAGTTGTTGCTACATAAGAAATATTGCAAAATAGAAACGTGATAAAGGAGGTGCGACTGGCGGAAACGGAAGGTAAAGAAACACTTGTATACTCGTATACTCAAACATAACGAAAACAAAAACGAAAAAAAAGTGTCAAGTATAAGCCATAATAATCTCAACAAGGGCAAAAAACTATACAACAAGTATTTATGGTGTTGTTTGTTGTTATTGTTGCTACTGTTGTGTTGTGTTGCTTTGCTATTGCTAATACAAGTGATGTGTAAGAGATGACAACAATCAGACATTAAAACAAAGAAGAATCGCATGCATTATTACACAAACTCACTCACTCTCTCAAACACCAGGATACAGACAGACAGCTACACTCAATTTCACACATCTTCACATACACACACAAACATACATACATAAGTTAACAGTTATATAGACACAACAACAGTTATTAGTAGTGTGTTTATAATATATACACAGTGAAAAGAGAGGGTGATGTTGCGGCTATTGTTGTTACTGGAAATAAAATAAAATAACATACACACACACACTCTCCTAGCTAGAGAGTAATAAACACAGACAAATATAAACACGCACACAGACACACATACATACATTTTAGTGAAAACATATACACATTTAGCAAAGCAATAAATTGAATGAAAAAACCAAAAAAAAAAACTGAAGATTTAGAAGAAACACAACAAAAAGGCAACTTACATACGACTCTTCTTTTTAAATTCTTTTTTTTTTTCTCATGTTGTTCTTCTTCTTTCTTATGAAAGACACTCTCACTGTATGTGCCTCTCTACATGAACGAAGGAATGAACGAACGAACGTACGTATGAACAAAAAACAAACTGAATGTTTAGTTTTTTATTTCTTTTTTTTTATTGTTTCTTTCTTTCGATTAGAACAGTGTGTGACAGACTTGACACATACCCCTTGGATTTAGTGATTGTGATAGTGATTAGTAGTACCATGATTTTTCGAGTAATCTACAAAAACACAAAAAATAATGTGAAAAGAAAAACTAACAAAAAAACAAGGAACAAAAACAACAATGTGCAATAAAACTAATGTAAGGAAGAACAGTGGTACGAATTGGAAGAAAAAAGAAGTTAGATAAGAGTTGTATACGTTTATGAGGAGTACTGTAAAAGAAGGGAAATATTAATGTTTTTTTGGATGTTCCAGTAAAGTTTAGATTTGCACCAACATTACTATTTATACAAACATTGGTCATACCAACCGTAGTACCAATAAATGATTAAAGCACAGATTGAAAATTTTAAGATATACTCATATTAAGTATTCTTAAGTCGGAAACCATCACCGAATCTTAAGAAAGTCTTTTTTACCGGTTATTTTATATATTATCATTAAAATTGAATGATTACACAGTGCAACACGAAAAAATATAACCATATACGGATACCACTACCTCATTAAAGACCAAAAACTATGAGCCTCCAAAGATTTAGCGCCTCGGTGTCATTTTTGCAAAAGAGTAATTATTTTTAAGGTTCATATATCGCAAACCGTTTAGCTCTTGTCATAAGAACAAAAATTGTGAACATATAAAATCAAAAAAACTCCAAGATATTTCAAGTTATTCTCTAAACTAGCCGTATACTTAATATTTGTAATATCAGTAAATAACTAACACGTATACGTACAGGTGGCGTTAATATGAGCAGTGTAATTTCACAATCTAAGACTTTTCACTTGAAATGAAAAAATGAAGTTTTTTTTTTTGATTTTACAAGTTCGCTATTATTGTTCTCTATGACAAGTGCTACAACTTTGCCTCAGAGAGTAAATCAAGCAAGATATGTGCTTGCAATAATGGTATCGAGGCATTTTGGGAAAAACTGGGAGACACGAGTCTTTTTGTTTGGTCTTTTATGTTATCAGTATATGGTTATATTTCACGGAATATACTCCCTATAGTTAAAGGATTTTACTTTCTATAGTCAATAGGCTATAGTCTCTAGTTCAACTATCTATAGTGTATGTAGTCAGCGGATTGTTGTTTCTATAGTCACTTAGTAACCTGTAGTCTGGAGACTACTCTCTACAGTCAATTGGTTGCACTCTCCATGGTCAATGACCAACACTCTCTATAGTCAGAAGACTATAGGCCCTATGTTTTAAAGGAACTATAATCTCAATGTAATATAGTCTCTATACAAGGAACTGTAGTTTATACATATATCAGTAATAAGTAGGCTATAATCTACGAACTCTACTCTCTTCAGTAAATTAACTATTTCTTCCATAGTCAAGCGCGTTGAATCTATATATTCTCTTAAGTCAAAGGGCTAGATCCTCTATCTTCATAGTCAACGAACTATAGCCTCTATAGTCGATGCAGTGTGGATTGCAGTCTTAGTATTCATTAAGCTGACTACGACCATAACTAATGCACTATAATGTTTTTAGTCAACAGACTATAGTCACTATATTCAAGGAACTACAAATTCTAAAGTTAATAGACTATAGCCTCTGTAGTTTATATATCAAAGGGCTTAGTTCTGTAAAAGGACTATACCTTTCAGAGACGGTAGTTTCTATATTTAATAGACTTAGCCTATATAATCTCCAATCTATAGTTTTTACAGTCAGCGGGCAGTACACTCCATTGTAAACGGACTGTATTCTCTATATAGTCAACGTACTGCATTTTTTATAGTCAACGGGCTATAATCTCTATAGTCACTGTAAACAGCCAACCTATATTTTCTATTGTCTCAATAGTCCAGTCTTAATAGTCAAGAGACTATTGTATATAGTGAGTGGAATATATAGAATCTAGAGACTGTAGTCTCTAAAATATAGAGTCCACAGTCTGTAAAATTTAGATATTAGAGTCTGCTTAGTAAATAAATCTCAACATAACACTTTTACAATTCACAATTTGAAGGTTACCAAAAACTCAACCACAATTTCCATAAATAAAAATTTTAAACTTCCTTTAAATTTAACTTTCAATTGCTTACAACCAAGTCAAAGGATTATTGAATTTTCAAGTAGGGCAAATAAATATACAAACATAAATACTCTGAACTTTACAAACAATATATATACATATGTATATTGCTTATTCTCAGCCAACACAAATGGCTAGAGGCTTGTTTTCATAATAGCAGCGTTAACAACGACAAAAAAATCAGTTTGCAAATTGCCAAATGAAATGATTTACAAAACTGTATACAACTCTATATGTTACTACAGTAATACCTCGAAAGACAATTGAAATTAAGTTTCAAAGTAGTCTTACTAAGAGCCTGATATCACCTTAATTAAATGGAATGAAGATACAATAAGAAGTTCTAGTGAACCAAAAATATTGATGACGTAAATCGAGGAATTACATACATTTGTAGCAATGTACCACTGTACCACTTGCTGCCTGCCACTTAAAGTGATTGGTTAATAAGTAACAGGGCTGGTTCGTTGGTTAGTTGGAAGGGTTAAGGTGTAAGGATAGAAAAGGATTTAAAACTTTAAAAAAATACTACATTTTACAAACTAAAATCATACCTACCCAATATCAATAAGACGTGGTATATGCAAATCTGTGTCGTCTTTTAAGCCACTCGTTTGTGTGCCACTAACGCCGCCATCCAAATGCATTACTGTGTCCTGAGGTGTAGATGATTGAAATGCTGAACCCGTTTTCCACCTCGGCGCTGTTAAAGAGGTTGTTGTTGTTGTCAGTGTACCATTGTGTGTTGTGGTAGATGCCAACAATAGACTGCGTTGGTAGGTTTTGTGACTACCGCCACCAAAGCCCTGATGATGTTGCTGTTGATGCTGCATGTGATCGTTATCATCATCATCGCAATGCGTGGGTATGTTACGATAATCACCATTACGTTTGGAACTGCCACCGCTGGGATTAATGATTGCACCACCCGTATCACCCCCGTCATCAGAGCCACAATTGAGTGGGGTAGTGGCAGAGCACAAATAGCCGTTTTCATTGTCATGAAAAATTTGTCCCTGTGTGCTGCCGTTTTTGCTTGTTTCCTGCATACCAGTTTTGCCACCCAAATCCGGTTTGTTGGTAGGTCCGCCATTATTGCCAGCTCCACCAATGCCACCACCACCCGTAATACGTGAAGTCATTTCGATTTTTTCATAACTTTCTGTACGACCCTGCGGCATAGTATTCCACAAACGCATTTTCCTTTTGCGGCGCAATGAACAGAAACATATGGCAGCAAATGATGAGCCGGCGACAAAGAGTAGAGCAATGAATATGCAGAGTAAAATAACTTTGAATCCTAAAGGAGCCTCTGGCGGTCGTCTAGATACAGCCAGCGTAACGGATGCTTCCACCTTTCCGGCTTTATTTTCAGCTGCACAAGTATAAATGCCAGCATCTTGCATATCAGCCGTGAGTATGGTGAGATTGGAGGCATTTCGTAACATATTTACCACATATGTTTTTCTGCCTTGTATAGCAGCCGCTGTTCTGGGGCTGTTTGAAGGACTATCCCCATTGGTGGCGGTTAGATTGGCAATTACACGATTTTTCACCATCCATTTAACGGAAGGCTCTGGTACTCCTTCCACATAACAGCTCATGGTTACATTTCTACCTTCTACTCCATGAGCTGTCGTATCAGTGGCTATAATTTGTGGCACACAGGCAAAATCGTCTAAATCTATTTTGTCCCATGACTTGCCCGCTAAACGGGGAGGATTTTGACATACTGGCGGTATACCACAGGGTATATTCTCTCTTAACATCCAAGATCTTAAAGGTCTTAAAGCACAGGAACAATTCCACTGATTGCGGGACAGAGTAATGCCATGCAGATTTGTTAGTGACGTTATAGTACCCGATCTCACTTCAGACAATTTATTGCCATCTAACTTTAAATATTCCAGACTAGACTCTAGACCAGCAAAAGCCTTTACCTCTACTCTCTCCACACGACAATCACTCAGTTCCAGTCTTACCAAATGCTGCATTTTCTTAAAGGCATCATTGCCTACTATCATTATAGGATTACCATTCATTTTCAATTCTCTCAGTTCCGTAACACTCTCCAAAGCATCGGAAGGTATATGAGCCAAAGCATTATAGCTTAGATCCAACTCTACTAGATTGATAAGACCACGAAACGCGTAACGCTCTATTAGCCGCAGTCGACATTTGGCCAAATATACCTTTTGCAAATTCAATAAATTCACTTCGGCAAAGGTGTCATCGGGTATGGTGGCAATTTCGTTACCGGTCAGATCCAAAGCTTGGGTACCAGCATCCAACGGAGCTGGGATATGTGTTAAATTAGCGTTAAGGCACAAAACAGACTCTTTGCCACTCTTCCACTTGCACTCACAAACACTAGGGCACTCGGCCATCGATTTGTGAAATATATTGCTGAGACAGCACAGCAGCCACAGCAACTGTATCAGAGGTATGCTGCGAAATCGTTTCAGGGTGTCAAACAGAGGTAAATTAAGAGAAGTTCGTGGAGTATTGGTGAAATGCTTTGATTTTCTTCTCACCTTAAAGGAGAGCGTTATACTCTGGGCAGTATTATCGGCACGTAGACAGTACACGGTAGGAGTCTCTAGAAAGTTTTGATAGCAGTTGCCGTGTATGCATTGTTCGTGTTCGTATTCTGGCTCTTGATGAGATGTTGGACGATAGTGGTGGTGATGATGATGTTCGTGCTGTTGATGAAAATTGTTGCAATTTTGATGTAATCGTGTGGGCGAGTATTCGTCTTGTTGTTGTTGTTGCTGCAAAGCATTCACTTTCATAGATGATTGGGTTGTTGTAGTTGTTAATGCTGCTGTTGTAACTATAGCCACTGCTGGTGCTAGTGACTCTGTTGCTGTTGCTGCTGCTTCTGCTGCTATGTTGGTTTTTATTATTTTGATAAGTTTGTTTCGGGCCATGGCATATCAGGCTATTGTTGTATATCTGTGTAGTTAGTAAATGTGTATGTAAGTGCATAATCCACATTTGTATACGTAAGTGTATGTGTATTATGATTTTTCGTAAAGGTATATGATTATGTGTTTCAGTTGAAGTACCCAGCAAAAGCCTATTGTATTTGGCCCTCAATGCATGAATGAGCCAATGTTACAACGTTCAGTTTTTATTTTTTTGTTTCCTTCTTTCATTCATATATTTTTCGATTATGATGCCTTTGTTATTATTAGTGTTATAGTGGATTTTTGTATTTGCTGTTGTTGTTGTTTTGTTCAGAAATTTACTTTAAACTCATTGATTCACTATTATGGTTTTTGCCAATTTTAATCATCATACAGGATATACTTCCCATTGGAATTTTTATTGTTTTGTTTATAAGTTTGCATTTGCATGATGCAATCGGTTGGCTGGCTGATCGTTTTCCAGTTATGGCATGTGAACACAATGGCTTCCTTCTTCAATCAGTGTTGTTATGATTTAGAAATTATTGTTGTAAAAATCTGAAAATGAAAAGAGTTGGAGAAAATCAGAAAAAAGTGAAATTATACATATTTCATCTATATATAAACTATAAACAGAAATAGTGTTTTGTTTTGTTTAGTAAAACACAATAAAACCGGCAGAATGATAATAACTCTGTGCAATTTTAAGTGATTATAATCATTGCGAAAGAAAATCTCTCACACAGTTACTAATTGCAAACAATTTTCAATCATTTTAGTTTTAATTAATGGGAAATTCTTGTTTTTATTACGATTAGCTAGATAAATGCAATGGTTAATGAAAAGGGCTTTTTTGAGTTATTAAGGCAATTCGTGGAGAAAGTTATATAAAAAATTATAATTTATGTGATATAGTTTACTAATGGCATTTTTTCTTTATTTATGTAATTCATTGAAAATTCATTAATATGGAGACATTTGAGACTGATAATAGTAACAGAGTAAAATGTTCAAGATAATGAAGGGAATGGTTATGATATTCTTCGCTAAAAACTAATTTTGTTTAATATTATGTGTTGTTTAATTACACAGGGCAGCAAGTTTTTAGTCCAGTTTTTATCCAAGGTATACTTTTTTAAGAATTCAAAATTTATCCATTGCATCAGGTTTTCTAGTTATCGTGTCAGGAAACCCCGCGAAGACACCTATATTTATAAACTTTCCCATCTCATCTGAAAGTCCAATCTCTGTATTTTAAAATAAATTTAACACTTTTTGCTTTATCCTGTCAAGGTTAACTTCACATTAAAACTAATTAAAATAGTTCACGCTATAAGAATTTTTACATAAAATCATTATTATTAATTTGAAATATTTGTCAAAATCATTTTTTCCTAAAACTAATATACAATACTTGTGTACTTTTGAGGTCATAGAAACATTTTCACTTTTATCCTTTGCACTCTATATGTATATGTATGTACGTATGTATGTGTGAAACTAAAAGGGAACAGCCAAAAATTTCGAAACTAGGCCATAAAAGCAAATAAATCATTTGAGCTGTTTTTTTTTTTTTGCTTGATTTTAATCAAAAAATCTAGGTCTTTTAACTTTATCATCTACCGAGTGTTGAATTTAGTTTTCTCTCCATTTTTGCTTAATATTCAAATTTAATACTGAACATATTTATATATAGAAATATGAAAGCATTTTTTTGTGTGTTCTCTCCTTTGCGGAAAATATTTTCTAAACAGTGGAACACAAATAAAACCAAAATGTTCTTAAAGCTAAAATAGATTTTATAAAACTTTGCCTTAAGTACTTCACGACAAATCCATTTTCTCTATATAAGTTGTTAGTTTTTGATTTTTATACTAAAACCATTCATTAAAGCCCTGTTGGCCTGTATTAATAGTATATATCAAATTACACAAACACATATGAAAATTATAGTTATAGTTGTTGTATAGCACAAACATAATTCATATCTCATGTTAAATGGTCGTTCTCATGTTGGAAATTCTTTTAAAGTTTCGTTTTTTTTTTTTTTTTTTTTTTGTTTTTTAATTCTTTTTCACTACTTTTATAGTTTTTCTCTCCATATAACCAAAATAGATGTATAGATGTTTGTTGCTGTAGTTACATACATACATCTATTTTGTTTTATATACTAAAACTTGAAATATTAGTATGTCTACCATTGCTAATGGTAGTAAAAACATATTAGCAGCAGTCCCGACTTAAATACTGAGTAATAAATTTTCATTTAGATTTTTTCCATGCTGATATTACTTACATTTAGTTTTACACATATTTATTACAACAAATTTATATAAGAATATAACTAAGTGCTAGTGTGTGTGTATGTGAGTTTATGTGTAGAAAATTATAAATTATATTTTTGTAGGTATTAAAATACTATAGCAAAATTGTATTTGGTATATATTGCTAAACCCAGCAAAAGTTTTGTTTCAGTTCTTTGATTATAGTTTGTGTGACAGTAGGAAATACAAATTGGTTTTACCATACCGAATTTTAAGTAATTCCGAGTTCCAAGGGTTTCTATTAAAAATATCAACATCTTTTATTTTCAATTAAACATCAGATCTTAAAGTCCCCAACTGATCCCCAAATGTTCATCCCTTTTTAACTATAAACTGCGCTTTCACTAAAAACCAAGTTTTTCACTAAAAACTCAGATTTTCACTAAAAACTCAGTTTTTCATTAAAATTTAAGATTTTCACTATAAACTCAGTTTTTCACTAAGAACTCAGTTTTTCACTAAAAACTCAGTTTTTCACTAAAAACTCAGTTTTTCACTAAAAACTCAGTTTTTCACTAAAAACTCAGTTTTTCAAATAAAACTCAGTTTTTCACATAAAAATCTGTTTTCCACTAAAATTTCAGTTTATCACTAAAAACTCAGTATTTCACTAAATACTTAGCTTTTCACTAAAAACTTAGTTTTTTTTTTTTTTTTTGTTTTGCAAAAAACTACTGTTGGTCTTAACGCAATACTTAATATTTAATTAAAATCATACAAAGAGTGAAAAACTCAGCATGTTGTATAAATATATATATATGAGAGAAAACTAATATGAAAATATTATTTTCATAATATATTCTTATAGGTACAGATGAAAAGAAAAACTAAATAAAGTCAAATACATAATACAAAACCTAAGAAATATTTAAGCAATTTATATAAACAAATGTTTATTAAGCAACAATAAAATGCTGGTATATTAAATTCAGTTTAGTAAATAATTGAATTAGCTGCTTATTATTAACTTAGAAAAAGACTGCGAGAAATATAAAAAAACATTAATACAAGACATCAGTATATTATTTAAGATTATAAGAAAAAATAATAATAAGCATAATGTACAACAATAACGACAGTCATCAGTTTCCAAATGGAAATGCAAATTTGTTTTAACAGCAAAATTATGCACAGCCAGTTAGTACACATACACATCATCAAACCACATCAAAACAACCAACAAAACCAAGTTCGTTTAATGCCATTTTCTGATATTGGTTATTAACGAGCATATCCACTAAAAACTATAACAGACATTTTTTTCCATATAATCTCTATTGTATTCTGGATGTGTATATGCATGCGACAGACTATGGCATGAAATGAATAAAATAGCAAAACAGCCGAAATACAGCATTACATACATGTGCAGAAATTACTGGGCATAAACCATTAACACGGAAATAGATGAGAAAAAAGGTTAAGCATACGCCTTATTGCATGCATTTTAATTTAGCAAAATATTGTTGCTGGAGTTGTGTAGCAGTAGTCGAATAACAACAAACTAAATATTTTACACTATGGAAGGGAAATAGATAAAGAAGAATTATTTTAAATTACTGATCTAGAACTGAACTAGAACTAAACTAGAACTGAACTAGTACTGAACTAGAACTGAACTAGAACTGAACTAGAACTGAACTAGAACTGAACTAGAACTGAACTAGAACTGAACTAGAACTGAACTAGAACTGAACTAGAACTGAACTAGAACTGAAACTAGAACTGAACTAGAACTGAACTAACTGAACTAGAACTGAACTAGAAACTGACGAGAACTGAACTAGAACTGCAGAACTGAACTAGAACTGAACTAGAAACTGAACTAGAACTGAACTAGAACTGAACTAGAACTGAACTAGAACTGAACTAGAACTGAACTAGAACTGAACAGAACTGAACTAGAACTGAACTAGAACTGAACTAGACTGAACTAGAACTGAAACTAGAACTGAACTAGAACTGACCTAGAACTGAACTAGAACTGAACTAGAACTGAACTAGAACTGAACTAGAACTGAACTAGAACTGAACTAGAACTGAACTAGAACTGAACTAGAACTGAACTAGAACTGAACTAGAACTGAACTTAAGAACTGAACTAGAACTGAACTAGAAACTGAACTAGAAAAAACTGAACTAGAAGCTGAACGAAAGAACTGAACTAGACTGAGACTAGACTGAACTAGAAACTGAACTAGAACTGGAACTAGAACCTGAACTAGAACTGAACTAGAACTGAACTAGAACTGAACTAGAACTGAACTAGAACTGAAACTACCACTGAACTAGAACTGAACTAAAACTGAACTAGAACTGAACTAGAACTGAACTAGAACTGAACTAGAACTGAACTAGAACTGAACTAGAACTGAACTAAACTGAACTAGAACTGAACTAGAACTGAACTAGAACTGAACTAGAACTGAACTAGAACTGAACTAGAACTGAACTAGAACTGAACTAGAACTGAACTAGAACTGAACTAGAACTGACTAGAACTGAACTAGAACTGAACTAGAACTGAACTAGAACTGAACTAGAACTGAACTAGAACTGAACTAGAACTGAACTAGAATGAACTAGAACTGAACTAGAACTGAACTAGAACTGAACTAGAACTGAACTAGAACTGAACTAGAACTGAACTAGAACTGAACTGAACTGAACTAGAACTGAACTAGAACTGAACTAGAACTGAACTAGAACTTAACTAGAACTGAACTGGAACTGAACTGAACTGAACTAGAACTGAACTAGAACTGAACTAGAACTGAACTAGAACTAGAACTGAACTAGAACTGAACTAGAACTGAACTAGAACTGAACTAGAACTGAACTAGAACTGAACTAGAACTGAACTAGAACTGAACTAGAACTGAACTAGAACTGAACTAGAACTGAACTATAACTGAACTAGAACTGAACTAGAACTGAAATTTTAATTTGTATTTTTCGCTCTATTGGAAAAACGTTACTGAAATTCCCATAGTGGATTTAACCAAATAGTTGTAGTAATATTTGTTGTATGTTCTTGGCCATTATCATAACCATAGCGAATGCCACACCGATATAAACACACTACAAAACACACACATGCTAACTAACCATACAGAGATACAGATAGACACCGTTATACATTTACAGACATGCAACACCATACAATGAAGCTAATAACTGCATAAATATTACAAGCACCATAAAACGACAACAGCAACAAACTCGAGAAAAGTT